TCTTTTATTAAATTCTGGTTGTCTGGTACATTATCATGTATTTTTGTGTCTTTTTGTTTTTTGCAGTGCTGGGGATGGAACATACACCTAGCCTTATGCAATGCTAGGCAAATAATATGCCACTGAACTACACCTCCAGCATCACCCCTGTCCTTTTTAGAAGTTCAGGGGACTGGGGGTGTAGCTCAGTGGTAGGGCACCTGCTTAGCATACATGAGGCCCTAAATCCAATCCCACCCACTGCCAAAAATATATATATATATATCATGATGATGAATTATGCCTTATAACACATGACACCAGCAGTTAACTATTTCCATCTAGATCATCTTCTTACAAACTGCTTTTCTATTTAACAAATCCCTTACCTGCACCTATCTTCCAATGATTTTCAGTCTGAGTGTGGTCCAAATCTTCCACTTCTCAAAAACTGCACTAATGTTAGAATTCCATGAGCTTCTTTGGACAGAAATGTGTAATTTCTTTATGGTATTCTTTCTAAAATTTTTAAGCATAGCTTAAAGATCCCATTTTCTGGACTTCAAAATACGAACTTGCTAATTTAAATTACTGGACTATGATTATTTTTTTGCTGATAAGGTCCTAAAGCTATTTTACATGGGGGAGAAGATAAAAGCAAACACAAATAGTACGTATTTTGCCATGCATCTTTCTAAGGGCTTTAAGATAATGGCAATAATGACATAACACTTATAGGCACACTTATTATAGATGACAGATGAGGGAACTAAGGAATGAAGAAYTTAGTAACTTATCTAACATTCATAGTAATGTCAGAACTGGGATTAAAATCATCGAAGCTGGTGCCCACAAGCTGTGCTGTCAATCACACACCACACTGCTCTCTTGAAAAAACAGAAATTTTCCTTTAGTTACATTTTATGAAAGACAAAGCAAAATACAGAAACTTGAAGTTTCATTTAGGCAATCACCATGAACTGTATTTTTACCTTATGCAAAATTATTTGATAACAGAGTTCAGAAACACATCTATTTCTAATTGTATAATTTTTTCAACTTCAAAGAACAAGGACATAACACATACAAATTTATTTTAAATAAGCTTTAGAATCAGAATTAAATTGATAAATGAAGTCATCTGCTGAAAAAGTATTATTTTACATYCATTTTGGAGAAATATTATCTTGAACTAAAAAAGTAGAAGCATATAATTTGCCAGTATTTTTAAAAACCACGTCCAGATACAAATTAGTTTTAAAGTTCTTGAAAAGCAATGAGAAAGCAAGTGACTTGTTTTTCTCCATTATTTAACTATTACTATAATAACCTTTAAAGAAACAACAGTAATGAATTTTGGACAATAAAAACTRTAAAACCAGACTGCTGGCAGAGGAAACAACAAACTATAAGTTAAAAAAAATTCATAAACATACATTTATTCAGGAAATACAATTACTAGAGTCCTTAATATTTCAATGATCATTCCACATTATAAAATATTCACAACATGTATTAAGTCTATACCAAGTCATGCTGACATTCTTTCCAGATAAGCCATACTATTTCTTCTACTAAATGCTATAATATCCATTTTAATTGTAAACAAACTATTTGAGCCAAACTATTTAAATACTTGTCAAGAAAAAATAAAACATAAACTAAAAATTTAGAAGAGGAGGAAAATGACAACAAAACAAAATAACTCCCTACATATCTGAATCATCAAACTTTTAAAGAACTAGGCCACTATAATCTAGCATTACAGTAAAAGATAGTGACCATATTAAGCAGCATGTAATTATCAATGACAATATTTCTCATCTGTAATTTTTAAGCTGCTTTTTCAAAGAATAAACACTATCTTTGTAAGTTTTAAAGCAAAAGGGGCATAAAGATTAAACATTAAAAGTTTATATTTAAACTACTAGTTTTTTAATAAAAGAAAAAAGGTAAACTATTATTACTTTCCAAATAAGAAATGCCAAGTACGTTTTATGCCTAAAAAAAAAAAACAAGTGACCCTGATTTAGTTGTATGGGAGGGGACCCAAGTGTTAATAATTTTTGAGCTCTGCAGGGCTTTCTAATRTGCAACTAAGGTTGAGAAACACTGAGTCAATTCATTTTGAAGTAATAAGAAAATTAAAGAAAAAAAATGGGGGGGGGGTTAACATTTGTAATTTACAAATCAAGCACTGATTATATATTTATGCCTAGCTTTATTCACAAACCATCCATTTACAAGATGAAAATTCCTTCATTTCCTCATCATACTAGACCACCTTTGTGTATCTTTGCTATTGACTGAACCATTCTATGATAAGATTTAAAATTCTGAGATATACTATGAAAATTGCATTAATGAAAACAAACTACTGCTACTCATGCTCAACAGTACAAAGCAAAACTACTGTATTTGGCTCGTTAAGCTATCTTTATTTTAAGAATTATAAATAGGTGCCAACCCACACAAAGACAGATTGTGGATTACTGCGAAAGAAAAAAAAAAAAAAACCCAGCTTACTTCATTTACTGAGATTCAACACCAAAAAAGATTTAACTTGGCTGAAAGTTTGGATACAGCTGAGACATTGAACCAGGAAGCTATAATTTATAAGGAAATGTTGATATATCCTAAAAGCTACTAYAGCTGTAGCTATATTAAAATAAGATTTCTTCAGGGCTTATTTACCCTGTAATGCAAGAATACAAGCATAACAATAACATTAATGTTTTTATATGCACCAATACTTCTCTTTAATATATAAAGCTCTACAACAAATACCTCTAATAATTTTACAATTAAATTAAGTCCATAATTCTTCTATACTACTTTGGTCCCAACATTTTAAAAACACACCAATTAATTTTGAAAATATACAATTTAACAACATGATCCTATCAATAACAAGCATGTTTTGTAGTGGACTAGACACATTCAACCATGCAATCCAGTGTTCAATACCTAAATGATAAATAACAATGCTGATTGACTTATATTCTGAGAAATCACTGAAAACTGGAATAATCTTTTAAGACTCACAGTGCTCACAAACATGCAGAAAAA